ATTATGAGGGAATCTGACCTTCATTGAGTGATGACCTATGAGCAGTGCTATGAAGAGGTGAGGTCCACCGGCTGCCCAAGTCTATTTCAGGGACTTGCCAGGGGCCGAGCAGCTGTCTCTGGGAAGCCAGCATTAAGCTGAGCTCTAAAGGAAGCATAGATATTAATTAATTAATTTAGTTTTTAGTGGGGGGAGGTATAGATGGAGAGGCAGAGAGAATGTCAAGCAGACTCCCCACTGACCATGGAGTCCAAGATGAAGCTCAATGTCAGTACCGTGAGATCTGAGATCATGACCTAAGCTGAAATCAAGAGTCGGCCACTTAACCGACTGAGCCGTCCAGGTAGCCTGGAAGCACAGGTATTAAGAACAGGAAGGAGATAAGAGAATTCCAGGGCAAGGTAAGAATTCCATGTGCTGGAGATGCCGGGCAGGAAAGAGCCAGATTGCTATAGGAGCTGAGGGAGAGCAGGAGCTGGAGAAAAGAAGATCAAAGCAGGCAAGGCTTCATGGACATGTCCAGGGAGCACCACCGAAGGACCTTGGCAGGGAATCTCTTCACAGAACTGCATCTCCGCAGGAAAACTGGGTGCCAACTGGAGCATGGATTTGAGAGGGGGCTGGGTGGATCCTGGGAAACCATGAGGGGCCTGTCTAGAGTCATAGCAGTCAGGACAGACAGATACAGATTGGATGAAAGATTCTCATGCAATCAAATGGAAAGCCCTTGGTGATGGACAGACTATTTTTAAGTAACTTCATCTCTGACTCCCTGATGGGGAGTCTCCAATCTTACGGTTCAAAAGCTAGAGCAAAGGAAAGACCAGCTTTTTGAACAAAAAGTGACGACTCAGGGCCATGGCTTTTTAACACAATTAAATTCCAGGTGAGCAGAGGCCATAGCCATGGAAAGCACTGTTTTGCCTGAAAAGTACAAAGTGCCTTTTTCCCCTGCTTTATTCATCAATAACCTTACAATTGGAGCTGACATATCTAGTCTTCAAAGAAACAGCAAAGACCTCAATTTCTGAATATTAAGGGACTTGCCATGAAATCATCTGACCCTTTGTTTCAGCAGTGTTCAGAGAGGAAAGGTGCCATTCATTAGACTCCTTTGGGGGCTCATCATTTCACTGGCCACCTTCCATGGCCTCTCTCTTCTGGACTTTGAAGGTCCTGCTTTCTACTGTCATGTCACATTTCTAATGGGAAGATACTCTTCTAATGAGAAGATATTTGTGTCCTACATAGGTCTGTCCACTTAGTCACTGGTCATGCAGGATAGGGCCCAGCATTGGCTGAAGAGCAAAGTCTACAAGCAGTTTCCAAGTAGTGGAGGGTCATTTACTTTGATATCCCTAGAGGGGAAGATAAGTGAGCATAAAGAGACAATAGTTAAGAGACCTTTTCCCAACGGTCAGGAACTTGGGTTCTGGATCCTAACTGTCTGGCTTTCAACTCGGTCCTACCACATGTGTAATTCTGAACTAGTTACTAAATATGCCTCAGTCTCTTCTCTGGAGAACAAGGATCATCATAGAATGAATCCGGAAATCCTTAACTAAAATCTTCGTGCACAGATGTATTTTAAAATTCAGAATTTCTTGATTTTAGAAAGGCAATAGGATTTATATTTTGTACCCACTTTCAGTGGGTCTAGTGCCTGCCCCCATCCCCCTCTAATCAATCACATTAATGTTTCTGCAGCGAAACCCAGGTAGGTTAAATTAAAACTTTAAATTAAGAACAATGAGTCTATGAACTCTCAGTTAGATTAGATTTTTTCTTTTAACCAAAAGAGTTAAAAAAAAAACTTTCCTTTTTCAAGACTTAGGGATTTCCAAGTTGTGGATGGGGGATCACGGAGCTATAGGTACCCCACAAAGAGGTTTTAAGGATTAAATAAATGAGAGGGATTATATATTCAAGTACTTAGAAGAGAGAGAGGAGAGCAGCCAGAGTTGAATACAAGAGTTGATGAAGACCATTTGCCCTTGGAGGCAGCATGCATCATCAGGGTGCTATGGTGAAGGAGGGCTCGCTGCCATCTGCTGGCAGATGAAATGTAGACAAAATTGGCCTGTGGACGTGCAAAACCCACCCCAAGACTGAGTCACTTTCCCAAGGGAGCTGTATTCCCGTGTCCTCAGAGTCTCAAATTTCATTTTTCAACATCAAGAGTTTTCTTCTTAACAACGCTTTCAGTGTTCAGTGCTCTCAGCCAATAATGTTTAACTCTGCAAGAAAAGAAAGGCACCATCCCTAGGCAAACCTCTATGACAAAAAGCAACTTGAAACAGAGAGAAACAGTATTATCAAAAAAAGTCTAGCTTCTTTAGCTACAGTTGATGAGGCGTTGGAAGTCAATATGAGAGCCTGACAGTATCTTTGGTTACCATTTACTCATATTAAACCATATTTTATGTAACTATCATAAACGGGTCCTCATTTTATTTTATAGTTAGGAAACAGGACATTGCTAATGAACTCTTTTGCTGTCTTTAAAAAGCTTCTAGTTAAAGAACTCTTCGAGACATTTTGGATTGCTTGAATTCGGCAAGCCATTGCTGACGATTTCAGGCAAATCCTGGTTCTCCGTAAGCAGAACTCGGTAGCGACAGTGGCTGATTCGACACTCCCATTTTGGGTGTACTATGTGTTATACAAAATGTTGTCTGCCCTTTAGCAGAAGAATATTTGGATAAGGACCAAGATGATTTTAAAACACACAAAACTGTATAGTTTGCAACAAATTAAATCTTAGAATCAGGAGTAGCAGAGTTCTCAGACCCCTGGACCAGAAGCACTGGCATCCCCTGGGAACTTGTCAGAAATGCAGGCTCTCGGGTCCCACCTGAGACTTCCTGAACCTGTAACCTAGAAGCTCTGGGTTTGGAGCCTGGCAATCTTAAGCCCCCTCACTGATCTGATGTCCTGAAGTCTGACCTTCATTGCTCCAACCTTACTATGCCTCCAGAACCTCACAGTACTCCATTTTGAATATATCCAAATGCCAGTGCAGTTCCTGAATCACACTTCTTTTCACCACTAGGTCCTTTGGTTCACAATCTATGGCTTGGTCCTCATATGACATGGTTTCCTGTTGGCAGCCACTCACAGCTCTCTACCAGAATATCTGCTCTCTGTTTGGCCCTCCTGGGTCCTTCCAATGGTGTACTGGTCATGCCGGGCTCTGCAGGGGTGCAAAGGGATAACCTCAATTGCTTCGCTCACTTACTGCTCAGAGCTCTCTCGACACCTTATGGAGCACCCAAAGGTCCCTAGGGACAGCCTTAAAACACAGTGCCAGATCAGGGAAATGCAGATCAAAACCACAATGAGACACCAGCTCACACCGGCTTCACTCATATGTGGAACAAAAGAGACAAAAGAGATGAACATAGGGGAAGGGAAGGAAAAGTAAAATAAGATGAAAACAGAGAGGGAGATAAACCATAAGAGACTCTTAATCATAGGAAACAAACTGAGGGCTGCTGGAGGGGAGGTGGTGGGGGGTAACTGGGGGATGGGCATTCAGGAGGGCACATGATGTGATGAGCACTGGGTGTTCTATGCAACTGATGAATCACTGAACTCTGCCCCTGAAACTAAAAATACACTATATGTTAGCTAAATTGAATTGAAATAAAGAATTAAAACAACAACAACAACAACAACAACACAGGGCCAGTCTCCATCCCAGAGTTTCTGATTTGGCTGGTCTTACCCAGCCTGAGAATCTGCATTTCTAAAAAGCTCCTAGTTGAAGTTGTTGCTGTTGTCTGGGGACCACATTTTGGGAATCACTTGAAAGCCAGCATCACTAAATTATTTGTAGGGGAGTACCTAAAACAAAGAAGAAGAAGGAGGATGAGGAGGAGGAGGAGAAGAACCACCAACCCAGATCTTCCCCTTCCCCAAATGACTGCTCTGAGATGTTTCCCCAGAAATCCTAAGTATTCATAAATTGTCAGTGTATTTGTTTTCACTGGTAATTAAATTCCACTTACTTCGAAAAAAGTCTGAGGTAACTAAAGTTACCTATCAGCAAAAACAGTCAATTTACCCAGTGAGCTCAGAGAAGTGCTTTTCCTCTTGGGGGGAAATAGCATATTCTGTTGCTCCTCCAATCTGCTGGCCATGGCCCTAACCCTGGTTCTCTCAAGCTAAGGTGGAGTGGAATAGAGGTGGGAAACCAGGGCTGAGCAGATCGGCAGAGGTCGTGGAATAGGGAGACAGACTCTAAGCTTTGGAAAGAAACTGGGATGTGACATTAATAATTCTGCCAATGACCAACACAGTTAACGCCCTCACACACACACATCTTAAAAGGGAGGCTCTCACTTCCCCATCCTTCCCCACCCTTGGCCAAGCCAAGCCAGAAATAGAACACAGCTCACCTCTCAGGGACATCCCCTCTACTTCATCTCCAGAGACCGCATCTGCTGCTTCCAGAACAAGCTCTGTTCTCACAGCCACACAATTCGCTGCTGAAACCCTAATCCTGAGAGTGGGGCTAGAGCCAGATGAGAGAAAATGCCAACAGGGCAAAAGCCTCATTCCAGATCCCAGATATGACTCTGCCACCTTCAAAATGGCAAGTGCTACCTGCTGGCCCCAGCCAGGTCCACAGCCCACATCAGGAGCTTACGGAGACATTGGAGGGATGCTGATGAAAACCACACAGTGGCCTGTGGCTTTTGCTTTCCTGAGTCCATTACTCCATCTGGGGGTGGGGGGCTCTGTGGAGGCTGTTTGGAGGGGGCCCACAGCATAAGGTCATGCATCACTTGCTGGCTCCTCCCTGTGAAAGCAGAGAGTCAACATCCAGCCCACCGGAGACATGGGCCATTCTCACCCTGCTGATTCAAGGGTCAAAGGTCCTGGGGGAGCAGTATTCAAGGGCCTCAGTGAACTGCCTTTTGCATCTCACAGTGGTTCCTCAGGAGCATAAAATAGGAGAAGTGAAACCGAACATTCACCCCTGTAGCAGAGGAGAGGAAGAGCCCAGAGGCCCCTTGTTTGGGGCCCGTTATTTTCCAGTCAGTCACATGCAGGGCCTGGCCATGAAGGGTCTCATGCTGGCCGTCCTTGTCTGGACTCTGATATCTCCCAGCAGCGGCAGCAAGGCCTGGCCCACGCACACGGTCTGCCGGGATGGGAACCTGGAAGTGCTCTACCAGAGTTGTGGTAAGGTCTTTCAAAACGTGCTACTTTGTGTTTACAGGGAAATGGAGGCCCTCAGATGAGGGCTGCTATAGTGTTGAGTTGGGATTGGGAAGGGGTGAGAGAACCAGGACCCAAAGGCTTTCTCCACTTGCAGTAGGTCTGCAAAGCCATCAAGAGCCCTTGGGAGGAGGAATGCAGGGTGGGGAGTGGGAATGAGCCTGAAAGAGCCACAAAGAGAACAAGACAAAGGCATTGAGTCTAAATAGACCAATTCACTAAAATGGCAGAGCCCAAAATGACCAAGGAGTCTACCAGATCATGAAACCCCATTAGCTCAAAATTAAGAAAAGATGCTTCTATTAGTCACCTCCACCTCAAAATGTACGCCCTGACTACCTTCCAGGTTATTGAGTTTGCAAACTGAGTGAAACGATCTCATATGTCAAAAGAGAAGATTCCTGCCTTCCAGTGACCCTCCTCAGCGTCACTGCTCACTAATTCAGCACATACTCAATGCCAAGGTTTTTTCTAGGGCCAGATATAACCAAAGAGCATACACCATGGTTATTACCCCAATGGGGCCAACATCTTTACCAACCAACCTTGCGAGCTAATGAGTAGAATTCAGGAAACAGCAGCTGCAGGTTTTTGAACCAACACTTTGGATTATATATCGGTCTACAAAGGCTGTTAGAGCAGAGTACCACGGACTGAAGTCTTAAACAGCTGATATTTATTTTATCACAGTTCTGGAGGCTAGAAGTCCAAGATCAAGGTGTTGGCAGGGTTGGTGTCTCCTGAGGCCTCTCTCCTTGGCTTGTAGGTGGCTGTCTTCTCCCTGTGTCCTCACACAGTCTGTCCTCTGTGCCTGGCTGGGTCCTGATCTCCTCTTCTTATAAGAACGCCAGTCCTACTGGATTAGGGCTCACCCACAGGACATCATTTAACCTTAATCACCTTTTGAAAGACCCTATCTTCAAATAAAATCATATTCTAAGGTACTAAGGGGTAAGACTTCAACGTATCAGTTTGGTGGGGAGAGGAGCACACTTCAGTCCACAAGGGGGGCCTGAGTGCAGGAAAGTGAGTTCAGCATCAGATCGCATCTTGAATGAGGATGAGAGGGACAGCATCATGGAAAAGTGTGCCAATGTGAAATATGACACTTCGGAGGTAGACAGGAAGCAAAATGCAGTTTGGACGGAAGGAGCTGGAAAAGTGATGCTCTTTCAGTATTTAAATTGGCCTCATGGTAAGCTGGAGAGCAGAGGAGATGTTGCCTTGGACCAGATAGCTGATCCGGCAGCTGCTACCCAGGGAGTTGCCGTGGAGAGTTTGGGATGGTCAGGCTGGTCTCTGGGGCCATTTGTCGGACTTGATTTCACTCTTTGAAAAAGAAGGAACACTGAGCATTGAAATGCACAAAAACTTTTTTTCTGATGTACAAGCGAATGAATGGCGAAATGCTGTAGGTGTTGATCTCATTACTCTCGCTCTTCCCATGGGGATGGGACGCTTTCTGCTGGCATCTACGCATTGTAGGTGCAGCATGAGAAGCAAGAGTTGAGATGAATGGACTACTCGGGATTTGTTTTTCCAATTCATCCTCCCATAAAAGATTGCCATGGCTGGTCCCTCCCCCAGACCAGCCTGCAGCCAAGCCTGGCACAGCCTTTCAAGTCACTGCCAAGAAAGACAAGAGAAGCGGATGCATCAGGAGAACAAAGCTTATCACCGGCCTCTGGGGATAACTCCTCCCTCCCTGTAGCTGCTCTAGTCACCAAGTATCAACAAGCCCTGCTCTGGGCACTCAGAGGAAAGGGATGGAGGAGACACAGCTCTCATTGAAGAGTAGTGGGAGGATCAGACAATTCAACAACAGGGTAAATGCTCTGTTTAGAGGGATAGAGGCATGTATCATGCACCAGGGGTCATGGTAGTTGGAAAGGGTGAGTTTGGGGGTCTAAACACGTCAAGGGAAGGGACATCAAGCTTGACCTCAATCTCAAAGAATGACAAAAATGGTAATTATAACACCTTATGTCCGTGGGAGGTTTACAGGTATTCAGGACTTCCTATGCGTTACTACTTTACAGATGTCTAAACCAGAGTTACAGATGCCAGGGAACTCTTCCAAGGTCACACAGGTAATTGGGCAGAATTGTTTCTGGGGAGCACAGAGAAGGCATGAAGTAAATATCTGCGGAATCAAAATGACTTGATCCCAGGCCCGGCTGACTCTGGAGCTTGTGCTTTAATCCTGCTGTCTGAGTTTCATCAGAAGGCAGGTGGATGGAGGTGGGGCATGGGAAGGATAACTTGGCACAGAGAATGGCATGTTGACAGCAGGGAGAGGTGACCAGGCATAGAGTTCAGGCGGCTGCAGAAGGGCTGGAACACAAGGGAGGGACAAGAGGTAAAGTAGGAAGTGTGGGGAGAGCCCAGGTGTGATGGTGAATTTTATGTGTCATATTGATTGGGCCACAGGAGGCCCAGAGAGCTGGTTAAACTTTTCTGGGTATGACTGTGAGAGTGTTTCTACCCTTTAGCACTGAAATCACTGACCTGCGTGAAAGCAGATCACCCTTCTCAGTGAGGGTGGTCACCATCCAATCTGTTGAGGGCCTGAAGAGAACAAAAAGGTAGAGGAAGGAAGGGTTCACTCTCCGTCAGCCTGACTGTAAGCTAGGACTTTGACCTTCTGCTTGGAGTGCTCCTGGCTTTCAGGCTCATCCTGGGATCTTCAGACACACCACCAGCCTTCCTGGGTTTCCAGTTTGCAAATGACAGATCACAGGGTTTCTCAGCCTCCATAACCACATGAGCCAGTATCTTATGATAAATCTCTTTGATTATATATATTTTTTCTAGTATATATTTCCACTGGTTCTGTTTCTCTGCAGAACCCTAATACAGTACAAGACAAGGTTGGGCTGCGTCCCTTTGACAATGAGGAGATTACATTTGGAAAGATTCCCTCAGGGAATGGATGGAAGCTTGAATATTAGCTTGAAAGTTATTTGAGGCCACAGCCAAGGTTTGTAGCCTGTAGAATCAATAATCCAGGGGGTGCCTGGGTGGCTCAGTCAGTTAAGCCTTCAGCTCAGGTCATGATCCCATTGTCCTGGGATCAAGCCCCATGTCCGGCTCTCTGCTCACCAGGGAGCCCGCTTTTCCCTCTCCCTCTGCCCCTCCCTCCTGTTTGTGCTCATGTGCACACGTGCTTGTGCTCTCTCTCTCTCTCTCTCTCTGTCAAATAAATAAATAAAATCTTTTAAAAATAATAATAATCCAGGAAAGAAGTATGACAGGTCAAACTAGTATCCTATTGAAAGCCTCAACATCAGAGGAAATCTTTGGGATATTCTGGTGTCAGCAGAGAAGAAAGAAAGCAGTGCCCTGAATTTTCTCCAAAAGGTGGGTCATGGCTCATTTCCTGAGAGCACTGAGCCATCAGAGAGTGAATAATCGTATACCCCTCCCCAGATGGAGATGGTCCTCCCTGTAGCTGCTGGATTCACAGCAGGGCACCCCGCCCACAGCAGGGCACCCCGCCCACAGCAGGGCACCCCGCTTACCCCTGCTCCCTAGGCTTTCACGCTGATAACACAGAACAAAGGCCATGTGTTTAGACCCTCTATCCAACCCTGGTGTTCAGATCTCCTTAGTGCATGTCAGGGGCTTCTAGAATCTCAACATGCACACAGATGTGGGGGCATCACCTGACAAAAATAGAGGATTTACTGTTTTCTGGTTTTAGTGCTTCATTTTTTCCTTCTTATTTTATTTAATAATTTTAGTGGGAGGGGCATCTCTTAGGCCAGACACTGTTCTAAATAATACAAAAATCCTTGAGGAGAAAGAAAGAAATTCACAGAAAGTTGCTGGGCTCTGAACACTGACCAGGAAGTGAGCACAATTTTCTGAGAAAGCAGAAGTCCTGCTCTGTCCTACTGTTAATGCTACAGTAAAGACTGACAGAAGGGGGAACCAAAGCAGCCTTTTATTAGATCATAAGACAATCCCCAGGGCTAGCAAAAGCCCAGGGACTTCACGCATTCCCATGCCACAAATGTCCACCAATGTATTTATTTATATTCTGTCTCTATCACACCAGCTCACGAGATGGATTACAAAAGTCCACAGGTTTGGAGGATGAAACAGGTAGTGGGAAAACAAGTTGGGGGTGGGGACGGGATAATAAATCCAGGAGACATCAGGAAACATACAACAGATGAGGCAGTGTGAGGAGTAAGATCTGTGGGTCTGAGGTCAGCAAACCTCATTCCAGCCATTGGGCAATATTCTCTGTCTCCTCCCCTTGATTGCAAAGTGGGCATATCAGTTTCCTACAGTGTACTAGTAGTTACCACTTGGTGGCTTAAAATGACACACATGTCTTCTTTCAGTGTCCCAGAGGTCAGAAATCCAAAGTCAACTTCACTTCGTGAAGCGCCACACTCCCTTGGAAACTCTAGGGGAGAATCTCTTTCCTGGACTTTTCTAGCTTCTACAGCTATATTCCTTGGCTCATGGACCCTTCCTCCATCTTCAAAGCCAACAGGCCAGCGTCTTGCTCCAACATCTTGTTCTCATATTGCTTTCTTCTATGCCAAATCTCTCTCCACCTCTCTCTCTCTGAAGGGAACACTGAGATTAGGATAATCTCCCCATCTCAAGATCCTTAAATTAATCCCATCTACAAATTCTCTTTTGCTGTGTAAGATGACATCAGCAGATTCTGGGAATTAGGACATGGATATCTTTGGGAGCCCTCATTTATCCCACTACAATAGAGATAATAATTTTACCTACCTCTCAGGGCCATGAGAGGATTAAGTGAAAGGATTGTATGAAAAGTGCTTAGTACATACTTAGTACATAATTCTTTGCTGCTGATGACTTGCAAGACATTTTCTAGTCAATAGAGGTGTATTTGATTATGACCTTCCTCAAAACCATATCAAACAAGGAAATTACATTACTTGCAAAATAAAATCCGTTTTTAAGAAGTCTAGCCT